CCACATGGTCACCACACACAGCTGCTTTGTATCCCCCAAGCAATAACACAGATAATCCGCCTCTGCCCCTATAAGAGCACCTGCACCTAGCAATAGCACCACATGCTGAAAACTACTGTCGAACCTTGTTGCCCATGATTTTCTACATGCAGCGTTGGGCAGTGTGGGACACAACCGTGTTCATAGAGGGCATGGGTAGCTTGAGGTTCATCCTGGTGTCCAATGAGGCAGAGGTCCGGAAGGCTGGTGGCGGCCAGAACTTGATGGTGGTCAACCAGGTGGCAGAGGAGGTGCAGAAGCAGGCCACCCCCCTTCTGAAGAGGGTTGTCCATGGGTGGTTGAAAGAGCGCCCACATCTAAAGCAATATACAACCAACGACAGCATGCTCCTTTGCAGGCTGAAGGCCATCAAAGCCATACACAGCTCAACACCTTCAGTGAAGCTGGCAAGCTGCACAGCCATGGCCAAAGCTTTGCGCCGGAGTGCAGAGCTTGCTCCGGTGGCTTCTGCAATCAAGGAGCTTAAACTGAAGCGGCCGCCATTGAGTGCCACAAGTCCAGAAATGACACCTGTACAACTGGCCAAGGCCACTGCATTCGAGCGGCTGCAGCCCCCAGGGAAGCGGTGTGGGGCCATGATGGCCACACATCGGCTGGAGGCAGAGGACACACCGACTATGAATGCGGCCCAGCCCACTGCCACCGCCTCCACTGCTGCCGCCACCGCTGCCACTGCCACCGCTGCCACTGCTACGGCTCCTGCTACCACTGCCGCCACTGCCACCACTGCTGCCAACACTGCCACCGCTGCCACTGCCACCGCTGCCGCCACCACCGCTGCCACCATCACCAATGCAGCAGCAGCAGCAGCAGCAGCAGCAGCAACAGCAGCAGCAACCACTGCCACTGCCATCCTTAGTTGCAACTCGCCCCTTGTGCACCCTGCACAATCTGCTGCTGCTGCCGGCCGCAGGCCAACCCCCCGCCACCCCGTCACCTCCCCTAATCTTCTGCCTTCATCACAAGTAGCGACCCCCACTAGCCACCAGCCTGCACCCTCTCGAGCTGCAGGAGCTGCACGACAACAGGGCCCCCCAGCATCCCCAAAGTCGCTCTTTTACCCGGTGGGGGAGGAGTTTCCCACTGCCCTCCCCAGGAAGCTGTGGGACAGTACAGACATCAGCCAGTTTGGC